GGTAGATACGTTCCACTTTATAAGAATTTCGCATTGTAGGAATCCTTAAATACATGAGCCAATCACAGCCCGGCACGTATGCAGTTTACGGACTACGGCTGTTTGAAAGGTTTCTTCTTCTTCCATAAAATTAACCGATTCTAGACTAATTTGACTCAACATTTCCAAAACACGTATAATTTTATGGGAATAATCCCTATAAACTATGCTATAAACAAAAAATTGTAGGATTACTTACCGAGTGTGCACCGTTTGACGACGCCATTGCTTAAGCTTGTTTTCGTCGCGGAGCAGCGCACCAAACGGCGGGCGCGTTTTCTGATAAGTTATTTTTCTGCGAAAAATGTTTATTCTTTATTACATATGCTTGTAATAAAGAATAAACGAACATCATCTTATTTCATAAGTGCTGCGGCACTTATGAGATAACACTTGAAATACAAGCATAAGAAGCACAGCAATTATGATAAAAATATATAAATAAAGCTTGAAATTAATAGAATATGTAAAAGTTCATGTCACACCTTTACACCTTGTGACGGCCGTTTGCGGAACACTGAAATAGGGCACGTAGTTTAAGGATTACCCTGAAGAACTCGTCTTCTCCCGTTCTATTTTAGATGCGGTTTTTTGCGTTTTTGAGAGAAATCGAACATACTTTTAGACCCATCTAAAAATTCTCTAATTAGTCTTGGAAGGGGGACTCGGTAAAAACGGGTAAGATCAGCTATAATCTAATAATCTTAATCTTCGCTATCGTTACTTTTTGCCCAAGCAACGACAACGCCGGGCTCATCTGCTTGTTTAGATATAATTTTATAAGTACATTTTATTTTGAAAATAAAATTATTTGAATTTCTGCTTTGAATTCTCTGTGGTATGGGAAAAGATTGTTTTTAATAATATCAGAAAATCAAAGGAAAAAAATCTAGAAGTTTCATGAAATCAGAATTTGATACATTCTGTAAATATGAATTAAATTAAGCAAGTAGATATTTCTTAAATTGATGCATAATATAAAAATAATTCCAATTAAACTTTAATTCGCATAAGTCAGAAAATTTTTTTATTGTAATATAAAGAAACTATATATAGTTAGTTTTACGAAAATCAGATAATACATATTCCTGATATTTTTCCAAAATGATTTTAATCGATAACAAAACATGATTAACTTATTTTAATAAATTAAACTGGAATACAGTATTTAGCCTAATGGAGGAGCGCTATTGTTTGGCATAGATGGTGCTCAGTACAACCATTCGGCTCGCATTCTAGCCACAGTAAAAGCTTCAAAATTTAGTTTATTGTGTAAAAAACACGATAAAAATTAAAACTGCTTTTGATAAGTGATGAAAATTTTGTTCTTTTTGTTTTATTGATTTTATCCGTATATTTTTATGCTTTTCGTGGATAGATCCACACATTTGTAATTAATACAGGCTTTATTTCATCTCTTAGATTCTGTTTGTTGATATAATGTACAATATTTATTAATTAAAATGAAAAATATCGAAAAATTACTATTGTATTAGGGCTATATTGTAAAAGAGATAGTCGAAAACTTTAGTAATTACAATTTTTTTACAGAAATAACAAATTATTGTAATATTTCATGAAAAATATTTTATCTCTTTCCTGTAAATATAAATCCTTGTTTTTAACGCTATAAAACTTGAACTTGAATAACTAGTTATTTTACATTAATGCATTAGGACGGAATGAATGTGAAGGTTTTTTAAATACAATAAAATAGTTTTATAATTTTAACTAGGTTAAGGACTCGGAATGCATATCTAAAGTATGATATAATCTATAATCTAATGATCTATAAATATGCAATTTAAATAAATTTTTCCACATTAATGACGTCACATACTTAATAAAACTAAATAAAAAATAATATATTACAATTAAATTTTTTAATTCTTAATTTTCTTTTCTCGTCAATTAAATAACGATTTTAAAAATTAATTAATACAGTATATAATTAACATTTAATTATAAAATAATATTACAATTAATTCGATAAATGCGTATTATATATAGGCTAAGTTTCTAAATAAAATTTGAAAAAATTGATGGTTTTAAATAATGTAATATTGTTACGGCACAAATTTATGGTTAAATAAAATAATAATTTTTAATATAATAATAATACTAATAATAATATATTGGTATAATGTAATTATAATGTATACGTCTCAGAAAAGTTGAAAGTACGTTTTTAAATTTTAATTAAGAAATTTCACAACCAAGAATATAATAATTGTATATCACAATAGATTGATTTACAGTAATAATTCTAGGAAATTTTTTCATTATTATAACTTTCATAGAGCAAAAAGTTTCCATTATAAATTTGAAAATATAAACAAAATTTAGAAAAGCATTTGTAAACTAATATCTTATAAATCTGTACTATACATTTTTATTCTTGAATCATCTATTAATTATTTAGAATATTAATTCAAATTCTTTTTTTATTGTTTAATTCTTAACCATTCTATAAAATATTTTTAGGTTTCTCAATTGTAATAAATTGAAAACATGAAAGAGAAATTTTAAACTGTAAACAATAAATATATAATTAGAGGAATTACATGATCATACTTATACAATTACTGTATATAGTCATTAAATATTATATAGTACAGTAATGTCATGTAATGAAATTGACAAAAACAAATTAATTTTTATTTTTAATAACAATCAAGCTTAAAATTATATAAAATATTTAATATTTCTTCTAATTTAAGAGCAATTTAGATATCGCTCGAAGAAAAACGCATATATACAGTATAAACATACAGTATATAATTTGAAAGAATATTCAGTTAATTTATATATTTCCATGTTAATAAATATTTTTATAAAAGAACGAATATTATATTAAACGCAACAGATAGCAACTATATATATTTTAAGTGTGTTAGATGCGGGAGCGAGTTGAACGTTTGAGTGAAGCACGTCAGCGTTAATACAAATGGCGTCAAATCGGATTCAAATATCTTCTCACTGCAGTTCATTCATTGGCGGCTTTTCTAATTCCACGTGGCATTCACTCGCTAAATCTAAGATGTACTATTTAAGTTCAAGATGAAATCTTACATAAAAATCTTCTTATTATCATTAATTGAGGTAAATTAATTATAACTAATTATTTTGATTTTTTTCAATTATGAATAAATGTACTGTATGCGCTTCGGAACATGTTTAAAATGTTACTTTTAACAAAATTTTATCTGAAAAATTTAAATATTTTTATCGTTTTTGATTATCTGTATAATATTTCTTATCGAATCGATAAAAGTTTTGGGGATTTAATAATCCGTGTTTTTGTTTATCGGTTTTACAAGCGCTTCGCAATTTATTTCAAAAAAATTAAAATAATCATGTAAGTAACTAAAGAAAAATTAATGGTTTTTTAATTAAAAACATTTTTCTTTATAATTTTTCTTTATAATTTTTCTTGTAAAGAATAGATTTTTATTTATAATTTGAATTTTTTAAATGTAATTGATTTATAATTTTTCTTTTATTATTGAAATGTATTATTTTTTTCAAAAATCAGTTTCAATTATTTTTATAAGAGTAACTTTTTACTATTAGTAATGACAAATTTTATTTTCCTAAATACAGTACAGTACTAATAAGTTGAAAATTTTTATTGACAATACTATGTAATTATAGAATAATATTATTTAAAGTAAGTTTTTAAAATAATTATCTTCCATTGTTTCATATATTGTCATAAATTAGCAACATTTTTTAAAAGTATTTTTAATATATTATATTATATATTTAATGGTTTTTATGATATTTTAATTGTATAGATCTGTGAAGTCATGTATAACTAGACTTTTTCTTTTACAAAAAAGCAGTTGAGAATTTTTTGTTTGCTTGGATAGAGAGTGTTTTTAAACATATAAAAGTTATTACTAATTATTACATAATTTTAATTTTAAATAGAAGAAATAATTTTTACAATATTAAATCAATAATTATTCAGTTTTGTTTTGAGATCTGAAATTTGAATTTGTCTGTTAATCTACAACTGATATCTAAATTAACTTACTTAGAAAATTGAAGAGATTGAAAAAAATTTTTTATGAATATTATCCATATTTACCCATAAGATTTCAAATTTTAATATAAACTGAAATATAATAAAAATGAATAACTCTTTTAATACATTTCAATTATATACAGGATTTTTAAAGTAATCAGTTCACATGTTCCTGTTTTAATTAATTTTATTTTAATGCCATAAAATATGTAAGAATGAAGATTATGAATTCAGTAATAAATTATGTTGTTCTTAAGCATTGTTAAGCAACTAAAATATTATATAAAGTAAACTTTTATAATCAGTTGAAATTAATTATTCTTTCAATTACAGTATAAACTTCAGTAGGTAAGTTTCTTTAAATAATATAAAATAAATTCAAAATATATGTATGAGAAATTAAATTAATAGTTTTGTTAGTAATTATTCAGAAATTTATCATTTAATAAAAGCAACTTTTGTATAATTTTATATAATATAGTTTAAAACTCTAATAATTATATAAAATGTTCATATTTAATTAACATTATTATTACTTTTTTTTCAATAGAATAGTCTATAAATGAAATAAAATATGATATAGTATAAGCATTTTAGTGTTTTTTAGGTTAACAATATATTTTTGCCATCATTATTTAAGTATATCTAAATTTTATTGTATATAAATATTTTTATTAATAATAATAATAATAACTTGATAATTTTGATCAGATCATTTTAGTAAAAACTTTTTATCACATTTATCACTTTTTATTAACTTTCTCATTTAATAGATATAGTTATTTAACAAGAAAAAAGTTTAGGACTATCACTTAATTTATAATAATTCTTAAAACTTTAAATATAATGAAGTAATTCTTATCACTCTTAATGAAGACTTAATAAAATCTTAAAATCTACAGCAAATAATTTTAAAATATGTATATATATGTGTATATGTGTGTAGATTTAGGCCTATTAATTATAAATAATGAAATATAATAATTATTTATTTAAACATCTGACAGTTTATAAGTTATGTTATAGATTTTAAGATTTATTATGTCTTGTTTCTTTTTAACAATCATGCATTGAAATACCTTATAAAGAAGCTTTTGATATATTTTAACATTTGCACGATTTATACAATCTATAACATTTAACCTTTACATTCATTAAAAATAGATAACAGGCCCTAATTTTAAAATAAAATAAAACACATTTTCAGTTTAAATTATATAAAAATTTTGATTTCTATATATTTTAATAAATAAACCATTGTTTTTTCCTTTAGTTAGAAATGGAAAACTAAAAACAAATTTTATTTGAATATATTTAGTTTGTACAGGGAAATTTGTATATCATCTTTTTTATATTTAGTTTGTTAATATAATCAGTTCTAGTGAAATTATTACAGTTTGTATATTATTTTAGCACTTATCAGAACAGGATTCTATTACTTATTTCAAGATAATATTCACATGTCAACTCTAGATCTTAATTAATGATATAAAACATAAGAATTGATAAATAAACAATGTAAAGTGTATAGTAATTTATTATTTTATTACAGAATAGGATGTAATCATTTTACTACAGTTTCTTAATTTTTCATGTTGTAAAACTACTTCCAACACTAAAATATCAGATGTAAAAAATAAAGTTGATAAGGATATTAAAAATAAATCAGTAATAAATATCTCTTCTGAGATTGTCAATTTTTTTGTTACAAAAATTTTTAACAACACAAGTTTTTAATAAATGTAATATAAAAATTACTATAAGATTAAAAAAAATTATTCATTGAATATCACTTAATTTTCTTGATTTTTACCAAACACATTTTAACAGATATTACATTTCCTGTTTTTAATCTCAAGAAAATAAATTATATTGTTAATATTCATATTGCATCTTTTAAATAATATTCATCTTTCATACAATATTATAATAAGTTATTTATGAAATTATAAATATAATTATAATATATGATTCATTACAAAACATGAACATTATATATTGTTTAATAATATATCATCTGTTAATGTTTTTTAAAAATCATCTATTTCTATCAGTTCATTATAAATCCTGGATATACAGAAACTTTTTATGTTAAGGTATAAGCAAATATTTGTTTGAAAGACAGTATTGAATTATATCATTCAAATGGAGGAAGGAAATTTTTATGTATCTATGATAAATTTGAATTTTTTCTTATAACTTTCTAAAGATGTTTCTTATTCAAGATAAATGATAAATGCATTATTTATTTATTTTTCTCTTTTGATTTTTTTTATCCTTTTTAAAATTGTTGTAGATTCAAGATCACTATAAATATATAATGTTTATAAGCCTATTCAGTGACTGATTTTTTTTCTGTGTACATAATATATATCTTATTTACTTTCATAAAATTATTAATAATCAATAAAATATTTAAATCAATCAATAATGATTTAAATATTTTATTGATTATTAATAATTCTACCAAAATCAATATTATTGGATATTATTTGTTTTAATAAACAAATAATATCCAATAATAAAGAATAGTACATACATTGATGTATTACTTACTAATGTAATACATATTTTAATGTAGACAGTGATATATAGCAGTGTTTTTGAACCATCAGTCCATGAAAAAATTTTATTGGCCCTCAGAAAAATATTTTATCATACTGATGCTGATGCAGTTGATTAAGGATGACATTTAAATAGTAATCTGGAGTTACTCTATGTACTTTGTTATGTACAGTAATGCTAGATAAACATATAAAAGTGTAATAAATAAGCATAATTTATAGTCACATATAATTACTGGTCCAAGTAAGATTATCCATAATTTTACCAGTTCACAATGAGAAAAAGGTTGAGAAACCTTTATCCTACATAAAGGTTGATCCTACATAAAGGTTGAGAAACCTTTATGTAGGATCAAATGACTTGTATGATCAATTACATCTTATAATTCATTAATTGTGATTCACACTATCCTCCTGTCAGTAGTCCGTAAAAAGAAGATAATATCCCCAGTTTAGTTTTAATGATGTTATATTATGTGCAAATAATTGTTAACAATAAAATAACAGTCAACAGTATACTTAGTAATGTATATTTTGAATAATCTCAAAGAAACAGATATAATTTTTTTCTAACATATTTAGTTTTATTGCTAATTTGATTGGACACATTGAAAAAAATTGTAAACCTATAAATTCCCATTGTCATCCTTCTGTCTGTTGTCTGTTCATCCTTAATATCAAGAATGGAATTAGACAGATGAAAGTCAAGACCAGATATGGAAAGCTTAGGAACTAATAATGTGACTTCCAATCCAAACTAGAAGTTATTATTTCAATTCAAAACTTTTCCCCTGAAAGGAGTTAGATAGATGACTGGCATGACTGTATTGTTAACATGAAAAGTATGATGTACAGGGGCAAGTCACTACTAATTTGAGGTGGAGAACATATACAGTATTTTTAATTGAATAAATTAAAAATATGATAAAAATTACAGCCTGACATTGTGATGATGTTACAATAAAATAATTACTGTTTAATTAGTTAGATGCCCTATTTCATGTATAAAATAATTAGTTACAAATTAATGAAATTTAAAATCATTTATATTATTCATTATGAAAAGTAATTTATAAAAGTCAATAATATATAGTTTTTTACAATTCAATGTTATATTTTTATTTTTAAAATTATTCACTAATAATTTCAGTTATAAATAAAATATTAAAGCTTTTAATAAAATATTTAGGGACGATTACAGTGAAGAAACTCCCATTCTTTCCACCATGACAACAACTAAGAAAAAAGTGAAAATAATCAGAACAATAAATTTGTTTTTATCATTTTTTGGTTTGGTAAGTATTAAAATTGTATATTTAAAATAAATTTTAGTTTTAATTTTATATAAAAGATATATTTATTATGCATATATATATATTTATCATATATTTCAAGGAGTGGATGAATCCACAGTGTATACAGAGGCTTAAGCCCTCCTCATTGACACAAAAAATTTTTTTGTTTAAATTTATTTGTTAAAATTAAAAATTTGTTGAAATTTCAAAACATTATTTTTTTTTAAAACATTTGTGATGGCAAATATGGCTTATTGCATCATGTGCAATACAATTAATTGTCTTGCACTTGTAAATAAAAGGTCCTTATAATTATTCATATATTCCTAAATTTTTGAGTTAGCTTCCTTTTGGTTCTTCTTGATGTGTCACTGTATTCATCTATGTATACATTTACATATACATTTATGTACTTTCTATAATATTTTAAATTTACAGATATAAACTATACTGAAATTAAAATTATAAGTTATATTGAATTTTCATATGTATTATGAGATGTAACAATTCTTAAGCATAACTGTATATACAATTATAAGTTATATATAGTTATGCTTGAAAATTAGTGAATTATTTCATATACAAAATATAATTTACTTAAAAAGTACAGCTTATATATTATTATTAAATAATTAAATTAGGATTATGTAAGTTGCATAATTATCTATAAACTTTCATCTTGACAGTTCTTTTAGTCATATGATTTTTATTTTGAAAAAAAGATTTTCTAACACAAAACTATAAAATCTGGCAGAATATCACAGTTTATAATTATACATTAGTAATTTATTTTTAGAATATCTTTAAAAAGCACTAAGAACATCTAAAAGTAAAAGTTATATGAATGTCACACTATATTAGTCATTCATTATTGAGAGCAGTATATTAAAATTACAAGATTTTGTAATAAAATATTTACAAAATTGGAACTTGGACAAAACAAAATATGATATTTGGATTTTGTAAATATTCTATTGTTATTCTGCATTTGATTTACATAAACACTGAAAAGATGACTTAAACTGAGACTGAAAACATTTTGTGTTAAACTATTTTTTAGTAATCTTAAGTATACAGTTTTTGTTTATTGAATATTGTATGGTGAAAGTTTCAAATATTTTCACAATAAACAATTTTTGAGACAAGTAAAAAATATAAGTTTTGAAAGTAAATTATTTTGAATTTTCTTAATAAACTTTACATTAAAATAATTAACACTTTTCAACAAAAATTCTGTTTTTAATATATAATTTGGATACAAGTTTGTTAACAAGATCTGTTCTGATGCCATATTAAAATGTGATATACATGATTATTTTTTAGTCTGGAATAATCAATTTAATTAATTGTTTCCAAAATAAAGCTTATAGTCATACTCAGAAAATACAGTAAGATTGTTAAAGCAGTTTAATTGGTGTTATGTGGTTTAATTAGAACTAATATATTAACAAGTATCATATTACAGAAAAATATGAATTTAATTTCCACTTAGAATTATATGCAAAATTTATTTCTAGATTTTGAATTTTGCATTGAGATATTAGTATAGTATATTAATTTTTTTGCTTTTTCTAGATATTGCTTTGAGTAAACATATTTTATTTGTTGGAATTTACAGTCAAATTTTGTATTAAGAAATTTGACAGTTTATTTCTACTGTTTCAACTACTGTACTGTTTCTACTGTTTCTGAAAAATAATTTAAAACTTTTAAGGAATATTAAACCATAATTTTATAATATTTTGAAAATTATTGTCACTTTGATGACTTTCAGCATTCTTTATAAACATTCAGATTAATATTTGAATTATTAAATATCAAGAGTAAATAAATTAATAAATAATCATAATTTTGCTTATATATTTATTGACAAAACTAGTGTCTGTTTTATACTATAGTATATTGTAGAATCTGTTATAAAATTCACCAATTAAAATCACATCAATTTAAATATACAGATCTGGTTTATTTATTATCAATTATTTTTGTAAATGCTGATGATGAATAAACCAAGAGGATTCAAAAATGTTTCTGCAGAAATGAAAATTATGATGTGCTATATTTTGGTCTTATTCTTCTGTTTCAATGATTATGAAATTTTTTTCCTTGTTTTAAATGATTTTAAATATGATTTAAAAGTAATATAATATAAAACTGTCAAATAATTACCATTATTCCTAAATTATAGAGGGGGGGGGAAAAACTTAAAAATTGATTCTCAACTGTGGGATCTAGAAAATTTAGAACCCTTCTCTATAATGAAGTTAAATACAATCAAAATTATTTTGAACATATTATAATGTAACTCAAAATGAATCCTTAAATTTCTTAATTTAAATTAACAAATTAAATAAAATAAAATTACTTTATAATTATGTTTTGTATTCAATTTAAAATAAAAGACTTTGGATATCCTAAGTATTTGACTGAGTGTATAAATAAATGTAATTTATTTATTATTTTATCATACTCTTATTTCCTATCAGTTTTTAGATATTATTCTCAAATGTATTTATATTAGAGAAAAGATGTTGCAACTTTCTAGAACTGGAATAACTATCTATTGTATATCTTATGCAACTTGTGTGTTTGTATGGGTTTTTATGAATTCTCTTAAACACACTTAACTCATTTCATTTACAATGATATGAATTTATATTATTTATTATTAAGTTGATCATTTTGTGATTAACAGTTAACATTTTCTAAGTCTCAGATAACATCTTCATAAACTTAGAAACATATCACAGACAAAGAAATTATCAAAAATAATTGACATTTTTTGAAAACAAAAATTAATAATTTAATTAACAAAAATAATTTTGATAGAATCTAAAAGATTCTAATTCTCTTCTATCTGATTAAAATAAAGATATATGTATATATATATATATATAAAAGACACAATTTTATTTTTATTTTGATTTCAAAGTGGTTCAAAATATTTTAGATTTTCAGGTTTTTGTCTGATAATGAAATTGATATAAATGATCAGAAGATATGTATAAAAAAATAAAATACTGTATTGATAAAAGATAAGTATATACTGGATCAAATGAATTTTAATCTATTGAGATATAAAAATTATTGATTTTATGATAATTTAATTATAAATGTTAGATATAAATATGAAAGTTGAGTGTTGTAAAGAAACAATCGATTAAAAATGAATATTAAGATTATCATAAAATTTCTTCATGTATCACTAATATTCTTTTTATTGATTTAACTAATCTACTAACATTGCAGACTTTGTATCAATTTTTGTATATATAGCGAAATTGCTTATAATAATTGAAAATCCAAATTTTGGTTTGTAAAGAAGTACCTAGCCAAAAGAAATCACAACTAGTCAGCCTTGGAATTTTGTAACTGGATACAACAAATAAAAAAGTGAATAAATATAGTTGTGAATTCTTTTGGCCAGATTCTTCTTTTTGGATTTAGATCAACAATTTGGATTTTTAACTTGCAGCATATAAAAATCTTTACAAAAACTTTCTTAAAATTAACAACATACAATTTTAAGAATTCAGAAATAAATCAATTTATTATTTTTTAATGATAATTTACATTGTATTTTATTAATATTGAAATAAATGGATGGTGAAAATGGATTGATAGTGTTGATTTCATACATTTTGTTTTCTGTACTTCCATACTGGTAAGTTTTATCAGACTCCATATTTATGGCACTTTAATTGCAACTTTTTTGACTAAACTACTGTATTCTGATTTCTTTTTTCAAAAAAATTAAACATTTTTAATATTTTAAAACAAAATGTAGAGATGCAAGTTCCAGCTTTGCAACAACAATTCTGTTTTTCTCTTGCTAATTATTATAGCAATTACAAAATGGCTAATAGAATTGTTTAAAAAATATGTAATCTTCTAATGTAAATTATAAGTTTTTATTATAATTTGTAAATGTTCAGAGAGTAATATTGTGTTTCGAAAATTTTAGGTTTATCAAAATTAATCAAAAATAGACAAATTTTTAAAAATAGGTTAAATCACTATTATTCTTTCATAGAAGTATAACAAAAATTTTTATTTATTTTTAGTTTTTAATTACAATTATTATAATTCTTAAATAAATATGATATGAACACTAATCAATTTTGATTTTTTCTTATGAACAATGTACTTTTTTTATTTCAAAAATTTAGTCGATAAAATAAAAATTTTTTCCTATTTAAGGGTATGTGTGTGTCCATTCCTGGACCAACTCTTCTAGAACTTCAACGCACTGTGAATACTGATTCTGAACATATCAGTTTTATTTACATTGCTCGATCAAGTGGCTATCTGTTTGGATCTATTGTTGGTAGGTTTTTAAATTTTTATTAGTATGTTTGATTAAATTTAAAAATTTATATTTTTATTACATAATATGAACAGTTCTTCTAATTTTGAAGATAAACAAAGTTCATTTTTTATCTTGTTATACATCAAATAAATTTAATAATCTAATTTTTGAATTGAAGACAAGATAACAGCCCAAAGGTTTTAGATTTATTTATATATGAATAAATTTGGTACTTTGTAAAACAAAAATTGGATTTTGTTTTAATATTTTAAACATACATAGGTGGTGTATGAATTGTCATATCATTTGCTTTTATATAACATTTATTATTGACAAAATTGAATACAAAACATATCTAAAATGTACAGTATTATAAAAGCCTTGAGATTTCTCATTAATGAACTACTTGTTCAATATGACACTTATATGTTCTCTCAACTTCTTGGAGACTATAATTGTCTTAGAAACTACTCAATGATACAAATCTTATTGCAGTCACACCACATGATTTTGGCTATGATTTGCAATATGATTTCTGGTCTTCCAAGTTCTTTTTCAGTATACTCAAGAGAAAGAGATTTCATAGATTGATATCAGTGTTGAACACATACTGCTGTAATGAATCTGCCAGTATAATGGTATAAAAATGAATCTAGGAGAAAAGTTTAGGAGGAACAATTTTTAATTTGTGTAATAAAATAAAGAATATATAAAAAGTTTTATTAGTTTAATAATTATTTAAAACTAGCTTCAAGGACCCGCTTCGCTGGGCAAAAAGTAACGATAGTGAAGATTAAAATAATTACATTATAGCCAATCTTACCCGTCTTCACAGAATGCAAGAATTAGGTCCCCCGTTTCCAGACTAATTAGAGAATTTTTACATGAGTCTAAAAATATGTTCGATTTCCCGCAAAAATGCAAAAAACCGCATGTAAATCTTGCATGCCGCTTTATATTAACATTTCCTTTGTTACTCAACACTTCCATTGTTAACACTTCCATTGTTACACATCTTCGAAGTCAACCACTTTCAACCCCATATCTCCCACACCCTTATAGCACAGAATGCAAGAATTAGGTCTCCCGTTTCCAGACTAATTAGAGAATTTTTACGTCCAATCAAACAAACTATTTTCAATTTGATCAATTTTCTGGAACATTTACAATCGTTCTATAATCGAACCAATTTGAATTTGAATTTGAATTCGAATACAAATTTGAATTTAAAATGGTTCGAACATTTTAAAAATCGAAATAGAAAATCTTCGAAGTCAACCACTTTAAGCCCCCACATCTCCTGCACCCTTATAGCTATTGAGACGCGACCACCATAGTGCACGAATGGAGACTTGGGGCTACTACCACATACAAACACCATTCATGTGCGATGTGTAGTTTTGGCTGAAAAGTGAAATATAGGGACACACACGTCCATTTATATAAATATATATAGATGAACTATATGAATTTAATCGACAGAAAAATGTAATAGTATTGAAAATGATATGATATAAAAATAGTGATTTAATTATTAGTTAATTATTGTTTATACTGGATGAATTACTACTAATTAATAAATCTTCAAGTTATTCATTTTTTAATTGTTTCAACATTTCCTTTTAATGTCAGTCAATAAAACCAGTATTTCCAATTTGGCAGGCTAGATGGCTAATGCAGTTACTTTGTCAGCTTACCACTCTGGGACCAGAGATTAAATCCAGATGGAAATTTTTCAATTGCAATCTGTCCCAGATATGTTAGGCCTTGCCCCTTCAGCAGTTGACTGCCTCATTTTGAGTCAAGCTGAATCCTTGATAAGCTGGAAAAAGGCATTATTAGTGCATACAGGATAGAAAGACAAAAATTAAAAAGTCTTGGAACACAAGTAATAAATGGTGATCCTTTTTGGACAGTTTTGTCTTTTATTTTATTAAAAAGTCTTGTTTACTTAATTGATTGATAACACCAAGTATGGTATCATTATCAGTATATTCAAGTTCCGAATGATTATAATAATCAGGTTCTACCTTATATTCTAAATTAAAAAAAAAATTGATTTTAATCTATATAATTTTTATATTGATAAATTATATTATATCTAAAGAAATATTTTAATCAAATTTGATGAAAATTCTATTTGTTTTTCAGCTGGAGTTCTTTTAGATAGATTTCGCAAACAGCTCATTATAGTTTTTAACTGCTTGTTGATAGCCATATCAATTGCTGCTATACCTTGGTGGACTAGACTATTACCTTTAATTATGAATTTTTTAATTAATGGAATAGCTATGGGAGCTCTTGACACTGGTAAGGAAATTGATACTTAATTTTACATTTATAAATAATAATATTTATATATAGTAAAAATAGGCAAATGCTATCTGCAAATACTCGAATACTAGAAAGTACTGTGGATGATCGGTTTACGAACATAATCCGTTCCAAGACTTTGTTCACTATCCGAATTGTTCATTAACTGATTATCGATTTACCATAGGTTTTTATGGGAATTTGATTAATTCGTTCTGGAGACCCCAAAAAATAAAAAAATATATACTTTTGTTTATTTATATGTAATAATAAAAATGCATATACACATCTTGAATTTTTATTATTCATGTTTTTTTCCATTTGTGGAGGTTAAAGAATCTGTCTAATGTCAATTGCTTTTTTCTCTTCTTCAGGATTTTTCAGAAGTAATTAATAGCATTATAATTTTAGAGATCCGCAAGCATATTAACCGATCACCCACTGTATTTAATATTCAAAATCGTAAGTACTATGTTGATTAAAAAAAATTCAAGTACAATGAATATGTCCAATGTCATGTCATTTGTACAGTCACAATAGCATATCCAGAAGTACCCAACAAGGTAACTTTATTATTTCATTACCACTGTAATATAATTTGGGCTTTGTTTTTGAAATAACTAATATTTATCTGTTGTAAAGTTATAAATATTTTAAATTTTATTGATTTTTTTTTTTTTGTGGTTTTAGGCCCCTTACCGCTCAGAGAGCACAAAGAGGCCAAAAATTTTACTGATAAGAATTAAAGGATTAAAGAATTACTGATAAAACATTTTCACAAATTATTTTAACATTATTTACATATGAAAAAACTTTTTACTAGATAATAATTTAAGAGTGGGTTTATACCTTTTTCTCTCTAAGTTTGCAATAAACATTTCAATTAACTTTATGTAAATATATAACTAATCAATAGAATTTCAGTTCAAAATAAGGATAGGAATTGGTTGTCTAATGTTATTGGTTAACTGAATCTTATATTTTTAGTAAATTCATTATTATTATTATTTGAAATTAATCTGATCTGATAAAATAAAAACAATAATAATGATAATAAATTTGAAAAATCCACGTCTTTCTTAATCCAAAATGTGTCACATTTTATATTCCTGGATGTTATATATAACAGTGGGAAAGTATGGTAATTGGTCAAAAAATGACCCCCCCTATGATTTTTACATTTTTGGATTCAGGACACCTTGAAATATCAACAAATGTGAAAAAATTCTGGGGTAATTTCTATATGTATGGGTGTTTGTGTGCGTGTGTGGCACAATTTTGTTCACCTTCTTTGAAGCTTAATAACTCCTGTGCTTTTTGTTGAAAATTTCTGAAATTTTGCTGGGAGGTTTGTTTATTGGGGATTGATGCTATTAAATTTTGGTGATTAAAGATTGAGGGGTGGGGAGATAATGGGGGTTGTGTGTATCTCCAATAGGGTCAGACTTAATGATGATTTTACTTGTTATTAGCATTTACAATTTTTTTAATAAAACCCATTCCTACCCTCAAAATTAAGCTTTATTTATAATAGTTAAGAATATGAAAAGTTTTTAAAATAAAATATAACAACAGATTGTGCCATTAAATGTTGCCAGGAAAGTTAAGCAACTCATTGCTGGATTTTTGGATTAAGAACAACTGGTGGATTTTTCTAATTTATTACCAAGACAAATAAAAAAAGAAATAAAAAGTACATATAAAATAAATTAATTTTGATTTTATTACTAATCTTACATAAGGTAAAATTTTTAAATAAAAGATTTCAACACAAAAATAAGAAAAATCACAAAAAAAAGTAATCAGTTAATGATTGTTATTTTTTTAAATTTTTTAATTCTTAGTAGAGTGGGATATTAGCAATAGGACTACAGTATTTGTTTTATTCACATTTAATATTCATTTGTTTAATATTACATATGATTGCATCAAATAATCCATTTTGGCTGTAGATTGTTTAAAATTTGTTGTAGGTTAATGTCTCTTCATGTCTAGTTTGAAAATATAAAATCAATTAAAACTTATTAAGAAATATTTTCTAATAAACAGTATTTTGCTACAGTTTCTGTTATAAAATACTTTTCATATATAAAAGGTTTTTAATGTATTATAAATGTATTAAGGTAGGCACCGGGGGTTGCTCTGGAAAATTTTAAAAAATCATCAACTATTTTGCTACATTTAAATTTTTTTTGCCACTTCAAATTATTTATCATACCCATATCATACCATTACCCATATTAATATCTATTCATAAAATTTTTAATGGATAAATATTTAATACATAAGTTAACTAACTATAATTAAAGTATCTTAACAGTATCAAGTTTTAAGTAGGCCGATATTAATGTTTTCAATATTTTAAATGAACTTTTTCTATTTAATAGGTAACAATGTATACTGTTTGGATATCTGGAAAAAAGAAAGTGGTCCCTATTTACAAGCATTACACTTCTTCTTTGGTCTTGGAGCATTTATTGCACCATTAATAGCAGAACCATTTTTACCTGACAGCAGCAATAATCATGAAAAAAATTCTACACATAATTCTACCTATTTCACAACTGTTTATTCAGAATTAGATAATCATTCCACTTCTAATTCACCAAATGAAGATGGACATTCTATTCATTTTCCATATGGAATTCTAGGCTGTTATGTTCTTTTTGTGGTAATTTCTCATATTATTGCTCTTTGCATTTGGCCAAAAGAGGAAAAGACTGATAGAAATGAAGCTACAAATAACATTCACAAATCAAACATTCCTTTATATTCCACCATTATTTCTTTAACAGCATTATTTATGTGTATGTATTCAGGTTTAGAGATTGCATTTGGGCAATTACTAACTACATTTGCAGTAAAAGGAAATCTTCATTTATCAGAATCTACTGGGTCCTTTATGACATCTGTATACTGGGGTACTTATACTTTTGCTAGGGCATTTTCTATATTTTTAGTCACTTGTACAAATTTAATTTGTCCTATACTAGTTGATCTGGCATTGTTTATAGCTGCAGGTGTCTGTTTATCACTTTTTGGAGGTTCTTCAGAGACAATGTTATGGATTGGGATAGCTGTTCTTGGCTTTGGTTTATCGTCTGTTTTTCCCTCAGTACTTGCATGGTTAGAATTTCATATTCCACTTAACAGTAAAGTTGCTTCATTGTTTATTGTTGGAGTATCTTTGGGGGAAATGGTAGTACCATTGTCAATTAGCCATTTCATTGATAAACATTCCATGGCTTTAATGTATGCAACTTTATTGTTAGGTTGTGGATCTACATTATTGTTTATAATATTATGGTTACTTATAATCAGATATAAGAAAACTGAAAAGATTGAAAAAGAAAAACTCGGTCACTTATCTACATCTCAAGAAAATATAAATTAAATAATTTAAAATTATGAAATCAATTTATTTAATTTTAGTTTAATTATTATGATGTTATAATGTAAAATGTTTTATAAAATATACACAAAACTATAATAAAATATTAAATGCTTGTGCATATAATGTATAATTTATAAAAACAACTATTTTTATAACTAAATACAAATATTAAACTTTAAAAGCAAATAGAATATTTTAATTTAAAAAATAAAAAATGGAAAATTGGACATATGTTTTAAACATGAATAGTAAATAAATTTAGGACAATCCAATTGATCAGATCTGTGATTTTTGAAGGGAGATTGTATTATCCCACTTCAAACCCAATCAAAATCAATCATGTAATTATTCTTAAACATGTTGATGCAAACTAATCAATTATGCATTTTCAGACTGAAAAAATGTTTAAACTATAATGTACTTGATGTTGTATAGATATTGTATAGTATAACAGTGCTTAATTTTATATGTACTGTATGCTTTTATATATTTACATATTTATTGGAAAATATTATATGCAAAGATTTTGAAGATAGCAATAAAAGAATGAATATTTTTGACAATTGCTGAGAATGTAACATTTATAAAAAGCATTATAAAATATCTGAAAGGTTATAAAGAAAAAGTGTAAGTCTAAATATTTACAATCAAAAAATTTTTTGATGTATATTTTATTGTGTTTTTGAATAAAATGTTATTGTTTGTGAACTCAGTAAATTTTAATAATCTGATTTTATTATAATCGCTGTAAAATTAATTTTAAAGTAAAGCTTTCTACATATTATGATAATATTTAAAAACAAATTAAGGCTTTATTTCACATTTCTTTCTGAAAGTGTTAAAGGAATACTTTATTTTTGCTTAACAGTAAGTCTGCTTATGTTTGATTTATTATTTAGGAAATGAAAGAAAGCATTTGTTGTTGTTATATCTAAAGAAACATTTTTTTTTTTTAAATATAAAATATTTTTACTAAAATTGCTCCAGCAGCTTTGACATCTTTGCAATCTTGATTGAAAACCAAGAGAAACATTTTCGAATTGTCTACTTGGCATACTCCATCGCAAAAGAGGTCAAATTAACAATTAAGCAAATTTAAAAACGATAAACAATACTTGTAGAACTATTTCACAAAGAAAGAAAAACATGAAACATTATGATAAAAATAGTTTTCGTGTTATTTCGAATAACATTGGAAGAAAACGATCGAATTTATCTGACAACCCAATACTACAATTACATGAATCCTGGAATATGTATAGATATTGTAAAAATATAAAACATTTAAATTTAGTGATAATGGCATAAAGAGAGAATTTTCTAGTCATTATTTTTTTTTTTCAGGACAATGCAAGCTGGGAGAGAGAGTTTTTGTTTTTTAATTTATGCCAACATTTATATTCAATTATATTCATTAGAACATTTTAGCAAATCAATATTTCATAATGAAATCAATTTAATGTATCATTAAATACATTAAAAAAATTTTTGAATATATGTCTTTATAAATTTTATGCAAAAATACGCGATTTATGAAAAATTATGCAAAATATTCTTTTTTATTAACTAGCATTAATCTTATTTTTACGATAACAATATTTCACCATATTCTGGATAGCGATCGGGGGAGTACTTCAATTAATACATAAAATATGCACTTTATGCATTTTGTTCGCTTTAATCATATAAAAAAATACTTCAAAATAAAGTACATAAACATCTTGCTTAACTCAAACTAGATTTAAACATTTTTAAAGATATCTTAATTTAACGTAAAAAAAGTTTAAAAATATCACAATCAAACTTATTGCAGATTGCAAACGTTGCTACTTAACAAACATTGACAAATTAAATTTATATTATTTTTATTATTGTCATAATTTCTGGTCTATGCATTTGAAGTTAGTTTCTTACACAAAGCAATCCTGCATACACATAACTTATTACAATTACATTCAATAAAGATTTGACCTCCAAACAGATTCGTTTTTCATTTATTTATTTGTTTAGTTTTTTGAATTTACTTATTCATCTGAAATATTAATATTTACAAAACGTTTGTTGCAGGATTTAATTTCGAGTGTGGAGAATTAATGATTTTTTCATTAAGTTCATTTATTTTAATTGTTTAAAATCCAAATATAAGTAAGCCTATTGTTGTATAATTCACTGAAAAAGTTAACCAGTCTTCTATAGTAAGCAAACTGATTTAGAAATGAACTGTGAAATAGCAGATGTTTGACATTAATGGAAAACCTACTAATATATGGACCAGAAAACTTCTGTCAATATCACTTGTCGTGAACTTTTCACTTCGCCGTAATCTTCTAGACCAGTGGTTCTCAACTGGGGGTACGAGCGTAAATCGAAGGGGTACATCTAATTTTCATTATAAAATGACGTATGTTAATCAATTTGCTGTAAATTATTAACACAAGAAACAAGAAACGACAAAAACTTGCTTTAAAATATCCCGGTATGAACACTGATTTCCCTTTTAACAGTCCAAACAATTTGTTTATCCATTTGATTTGCCTGTCTATTTGTGCCGTTAGTGCCGAGTGAACCTGTAGTCTAGTAAAATTACGGTTTAACCGAGCATTAATTTTAGAATAGAAAAAATTTTTTATTCTGTTTTATAACTATTGCTCAATGAGATTTGGGCTTTTTGTGTTTTTACTGGACTACTGCTATTAGAAATAACGAGGCTTGGATCACACCCTCACCATGCATGTATGCATTACTTGATATTTAGCAAATTTAGACATTATGTTTGTTACAAAAATTGAAAGATTCATTGTTCTGCACGTTATAAATTCGCAGCCATTACATTGTAAGTACACAATAATAATCTCTATTTAACAACGTGGGAACCAAATTTTGAAAAAATTGCTGAAGATTTATCGCAACAAATATTCCACTAAATTTTGTTAGAAATTATTATAGAATAATTTAAATTTTCTTTATCGTTAATTATAATTATTTATTTTTAGGAAATGTAATTTATGCATGTATTGAAATGACTTCTGTGATTTTATATAATATACTTACAATAAGCATTTCTTTAAAGCTGT